ATGAAGCATTCCTGGTCATCCCAACCAAAGTATCTGAACAGGATGTTTTGCACGCAGTACTCTGTTCCGTCTGCCAGTGAATTTGGTTGTCCACTATGCCAGGCACTCGTGTTTTGAATTAGTTTAAGATGTCTTTTTGGAAATTTATTACAAATTTAATCAAACGATTTTTGATACAAAGTTTGTGCTTCTACCATATTAATAATGCCTTTTACGCTCAATGATTTTTGCTGTTGAACTGCTCTGTTAACTAAAACCGTCATCGAGTTTTCTATGTTTATAAATTCACGAAGATAAAAAATTCTATAACAATTCACGTGCTTATAGAAAAATTTGTTATAACTCGTAGTTTTAAAACTCTGCTCAAAACTAAGATTTCCGTTAAGAGCAATATCCATGCATTTTCAATGAAGTATTTGACATGGACGCAGAATCCAAAAAAAGTTGACTGTCGGTTGTGTTCAGGTTTGGAATTATCGTCTCCTTTTTAAGTATATAGTGTAACGAATGTATTCTGGAACATCACATCTATGAGATTCTATATGTTTATTTGTCATTTAATTTATATATTAAAATGTATTCGAGATTGCGAATCAAAAAAAGTCTATATTTTAACGTTATTAAATTGCAAAAACATGAACATTTCCATAAGCATCAAATACTTAAAAATTGAAATGAGTAAAATTAATCATCTAGCAGACTGTAGCGAGAGAAAAAAAAACATTAAAATCAGATATTGCGTTTCAAATGCAGCTTGTAACGTTAGGTTTCACTTGAATACTTTTGACGTAAAAACGTTTAAAAACTGGTTTGTTCTTCTTGTTTTTTTCATCGTCGTCATCGTGATCATTATCATCGTGATCATCATCATCGTGATCATAATTAATCATACTGGCCACCAATTCTATGTCACTTCCATCATCATTAATCATATTGGCTACCAATTTTATGTCACTTTCATCTTGAGCATTTTGTACCGAGTTTTCATCATCTAGATCATAATCATCGTGATAATAATCATCGTGATAATAATCATCGTGATAATAATCCTCGTCATCATTAATCAGTTTGGCTTTTTAGTCACTTTCACTTTGAGCCTTTTGTACTCTGTGTGGCTTATCTTCATCAGTTGCTAAAATAATCTTTTCTCTTCTGACTTTGTAATCATTTTCATTGTTTTAGTTATTTAATAGTTGAGTGTGTGTGTGTGTTGACGGTCGGTTGTAGTCAGGTTCTCGTCTCATTTTTAAGTATTTTGTGTAACGAATGTATAAGGGAGCGTTACATATAAGAGCCTCTATATGTTTATTTGTTCTTTAATTTATCTATTTAAGATAAATTTTCTAGACTGCGAATCTATAAATAATTCTAAATTTTAAAGTTCTTAAATAGCAAAAACACGAAGCATGAGATACTAAAAAATAAAACTAAAAAAAATAAACCATCTAGTAGACTGTTGCGAAAGAAAACTAGAAAAAAAATTAAAATCAGTTATTGCTGGTTAAACTGGTTTGTTCCTCTTGCTCTTTTTCATCGTCGTCATCGTGATCATCATCACTGATATTTGCTACCAATTTTATGTCATTTTCATCATCATCTTTATCATTATTAATCATATTGGCTACAAATTTTATATCACTTTCACTTTGAGCCTTTTGTACTCTGTGTGGCTTATCTTCATCAGTTGCTAAAATAATCTTTTCTCTTCTGACTTTGTAATCATTTTCATTGTTTTCTTTCACTGGAGTTTGTGTGGAACTTGTCTCACTATCATCATTTTCTAAAAATAAAATAATTCTTTTTACTACGTTATTATCATCTTCGTCATCTTCATGTTTCCTCTTTTTGTTATCAGCAAAGTTGAGACACTCTTGTACATTTTTGAAGCTATGCCTAAATTCAGTCAATCTATTGATCAACTGTAGCTTTGAAGCTTCGTTCAATTCTTTTCTACTAGGCCTAAGTCTGTCTAAAACATTTCTAAAATTTTTTGCAAAACTGTGAACTCCGTTAATATGGCCATATTCAGACATTTTCACTTTTTATTAATAAAAATTTTCACTCCAGAGATCGTTGAAGAAATCGTTAAATCAGAGAACTGATCGCTACGAGAATGATTGTAATTCCGAACCCACTTCTCTTATATACTGAGCTGGTCTTTGTATGCAATCAATGATAAAATATTTTCGGCTACTTGGCCTGCTTTCTTGTCTATGAACTTTGATAGGTTTCGTTGTAAAATTTCTAAATGATAATTTAATTTTCACTAAAAAATCTTAAATAACGAGTTTGCAATTATAATATCTATGTTATATTATTAACTTTGAAAGTAAATTAATTACTTTGCGATTGTTTTGAATTGGTTTAAAGATATCTTTTTGGAAATTTATTACAAATTTAATCAAACGATTTTTGATACAAAGTTTGTGTTTTATTGTGACATTGCATTTGAAAAACAGACTTTTTAAGAAAATGGAGAGTTGGAGCTGTGGTACAGGCGGTGGCTACTCTGAAGAAATAAAAATTGATTTATAAAACGAATAGGAATAAATTTTTGTAAACAAATGTGTTTTGTTTCAACCATACAATATCTTTTATTGATGTTTGTGTTGTTCAAGACAAAACATCGTTATTTCCTAAAATCCCCTTTTTTATTTCTCGATTTACGTGTTATCATCTTCATGTTTCATCTTTCTGTTTCTGTTTTGATGCTCTTGTACATTTTTGAAGCAATGCTTAAAATCAGTTAAACCGCTTCCTAAGTGTGGCTTGAAAATGTTGTTGAATTTTTCACTAAGTTTAGGCCTAAGCGTCTCCAAAGTAGGATGTTTTGCACGCAGTACTCTGTTCCGTCTGCCAGTGAATTTGGTTGTCCACTATGCCAGGCACTCGTGTTTTGAATTAGTTTAAGATGTCTTTTTGGAAATTTATTACAAATTTAATCAAACGATTTTTGATACAAAGTTTGTTCTTCTACCATATTAATAATGCCTTTTACGCTCAATGATTTTTGCTATTGAACTGCTCTGTTAACTAAAACCGTCATCGAGTTTTCTTTGTTTATAAATTCACGAAGATAAAAAATTCTATAACAATTCACGTGCTTATAGAAAAATTTGTTATAACTCGTAGTTTTAAAACTCTGCTCAAAACTAAGATTTCCGTTAAGAGCAATATCCATGCATTATCCGTCATCGTGATCATAATCATCGTGATCATCATCTATCATATTAGTTACCAATTCT